TACCAATAAAACCTAACATACTGTACGCCTTCTTAACAACGCTATCAACCTGGGTGGCAACTTTCAGTGATCTATGCACATGGACACCGAGATCTTTCTGCTCATCCACACTACCAAGAATCTTACCATTAGCCCGGTACTCTGTATTCCTGTTACTCCTTCCAAAGTGAATCACCTCACACTTTTCCGCATTAAACTCCATTTGCCACCTCTCAGCCCATCTCTGCAGCTTATCTATGTCCCTCTGTAACCTACAACATCCTTCCGCACTATCCACAACTCCACCGACTTTGGTGTCATCCGCAAATTTACTAACCCATCCTTCTACGCCCTCATCCAGGTCATTTATAAAAATGACAAACAGCAGTGGCCCCAAAACAGATCCTTGAGGTACACCACGAGTAACTGAACTCCAGGATGAACATTTCCCATCAACCACCACCCTCTGTCTTCTTACAGCTAGCCAATTTCTGATCCAAACTGCTAAATCACCCTCAATCCCATGTATTTTCTGCAATAGCCTACCATGGGGAACCTTATCAAACGCTTTACTGAAATCCAAATACACCACATCAACCGCTTTACCCTCATCCACCTGTTTGGTCACCTTCTCGAAGAACTCAATAAGGTTTGTGAGGCACGACCTACCCTTCACAAAACCGTGTTGACTATCCCTAATCAAATTATTCCTTTCTAGATGATTATAAATCCTACCTCTTATAATCCTTTCCAACACTTTACCCACAACCGAAGTAAGGCTCACTGGTCTATAATTACCAGGGTTGTCTCTACTCCCCTTCTTGAACAAGGGGACAACATTTGCTAGTCTCCAGTCTTCTGGCACTATTCCTGAAGACAATGATGACACAAAGATCAAAGCCAAAGGCTCTGCAATCTCCTCTCTAGCTTCCCAGAGAATCCTAGGATAAATCCCATCCGGCCCAGGGGACTTATCTATTTTCACACCTTCCAGAATTGCTAACACCTCCTCCTTATGAACCTCAATCCCATCTAGTCTAATAGACTGTATCTCAGTATTCTCCTCGACTACATTGTCTTTTTCCTGTGTGAATACTGACGAAAAATATTCATTTAGCACCTCTCCTATCTCTTCGGACTCCACGCACAACTTCCCACTACTGTCCTTGACCGGCCCCAATCTTACTCTAGTCATTCTTTTATTCCTGACATACCTATAGAAAGCTTTAGGGTTTTCCTTGATCCTACCTGCTGAAGACTTCTCATGTCCCCTCCTGGCTCTTCTTAGCTCTCTCTTTAGGTCCTTCCTGGCTAACTTGTAACTCTCAAGCGCCCTCACTGAGCCTTCACGCCTCATCTCTACATAAGCCTCCTTCTTCCTCTTGACAAGAGATTCAACTTCTTTAGTAAACCACGGTTCCCTCGCTCGACCACTTCCTCCCTGCCTGACAGGTACATACTTCTCAAGGACACGCAGTAGCTGTTCCTTGAACAAGCTCCACATTTCAATTGTGCCCAGCCCCTGCAGTTTCCTTCTCCATCCTATGCATCCTAAATGTTGCCTCATCGCCTCATAATTGCCTTTCCCCCAGCTATAACTCTTGCCCTGCTTTATATACCGATCCCTTTCCATCGCTAAAGTAAACGTAACCGAATTGTGGTCACTATCACCAAAGTGCTCTCCTACCTCCAAATCTAACACCTGGCCTGGTTCATTACCCAGTACCAAATCCAATGTGGCCTCGCCTCTTGTTGGCCTATCTACATACTGTGTCAGGAAACCCTCCTGCCCACATTGGACAAAAACTGACCCATCTGAAGTACTCGAACTATAGCGTTTCCAGTCAATATTTGGAAAGTTAAAGTCCCCCATAACAACTTGGCAAGACAAACGAGGCACGGGAGTATGTGATGGACAGTAGGACCCTGGGAAACACTGAGGATCAGAGGAACCTTGGTGTGTACGTACACTGGTCCATTAAGTTATCAGGACAGGGCAATAAAGTGGTTAAGAAAGCATATGGTATACTTGCTTTTCTTAACTGAGACATAGAGTTTAAGAGCATGGAGGTTATACTGGAACAGTATAAAACATTGGTTAGGCCACAAGTAGAGTATTGTGTGCAGTTCTGGAATCCACATTATGGGATGGATGTGACGGTACTGGAGAGGGTGCAGAGGAGATTTACAAGGATGTTGCCTGGGCTGGAGAGTTTTAGTTATGAAGCGAAATTGGACAGACTCAGGTTACATTTTAGAGCAGACGAGATTGAGAGGGGACATTATTGAGATGTATAAAATTCTGAGGGGTACAGACAGGATGGATAAAAAGAAACTTTCCCCCTTGATGGAGGGATCAAAAACCCAGGGCATAGACTTAAAGTAAGGGGCAGAAGGTTTAGAGGGGATGTTGTAATGTTTGACCCAGAGCATGATGGGAATCTGGAACTCACTGCCTGCAAAAGTAGGAGAGGTGGAAACCCTCATAACATTGCAGACATATTTAGGTAATGCAATTGCGATGCCAAGACATACAAGGCTATGGGCCATGAGCTGGAAAATGGATTTAAAATAGTTAGGTGGTTGTTTTTGACTGGCCCAGACACAATGGGCTAAAGGTCCTTTTTCTATGCTGTAGAGCTCTATAATGCTATGACTCTATGACTCTAAGGTGCCACATAAAAGGTTATAGTGAAAAGTAAAAGCACATGTTGTATGATGGTTAGAAGACTGGCTGGCTGGCAGAAATCAGAGAGCATATATAAATGGGTCTTGGTCTGATTGGCAGAATGTTACAAGTGCAGTGGCAAAGAGGTCTGTCTCGGCATCTCAACTTTGTACAATTTATATCAATGACTTAGATAAATGGAACAAGCACAGTGGCTAAATTTACAGATGACACTGAGATAGGTAGGAAAGTATGTTGTGAAGAACATGTAAAATCATACAGTTGTACGGCATGGAAACAAACCCTTCAGTCTAACTTGTCCATGCCAACCAGATATCCAAAATTAATCTAGTCCCATTTGCCAGTTTTTGGCCCATATCCCTCTAAACCCTTCTTATCCATATACCCATATATTTTAAATGTTATTGTACCCACCTAAACCGTTTCCTCTGGCAGCTCGTTCCATACATGAAGAATTAAGGAGGTTGCAGACAGATACAGACAGGACTGAGTGAATCGGCAAAAATCTGACAGATGAGATATAATGTGGGAAAGTATGAAGTTGTTTACTTTTGCAGGATGAATAAAAGAACAGATTGTTACTTAAATGGAGAACAACTGCAGAATTCCAAGGATCAGGGGGGTTTAGGTGTTTGATGCTTGAGTCCCAAAAGTCAGTGTGCAGATATAGTACATAATCAAGGTTAGTGGAATTTTATTCTTTATTATGAAAGACATTGAACATAGAAGTATGGATGTTATACAGGGAATTGGTAAGACCACATCTTGAATATTGACCTTAGTTTGGGTCTGTTTATCGGAAGGATGTAAATACATTGGCGGTGGTTCAGAGGAGGTTTACGAGAGTAATCCCTGGAATGAGCAGGTTGCCTAATGAGGAATGGTTAGACAGGTTGGGCTTGTTTCTACTGAAGTTTTAAGAAGTGAGAGGTGACCTGATTGAAGTGTATATGACCCTGAATGGTCTTAACAAGGCGGACACTAAAAGGATATTTCTTCTTGTGGGTGAGTTCAGAATGAGGAGGTATTGTTTGAAAATTAGGGATCATAGCCACATGGATTAGCAGAAACACTGCTGGTGACATAGGAACATAGCAGCAGATGTAGGCCATTCAGCCCATTGAGCATGCTGCAATATTAAATATAATTTCTGACCAAACACCATAACCTTGTATGCCATTAGTAATCCAAAATCTACCAATCCCTACTCAAAGACTGAGCATCCACAGTCCTCTGGAGTACAGAACTCCAAAGGTTCACAAACCTCTAAGTAAAATCTTCTCTCCTCATTGCGGCTCTAAGTGGCATCCCACTCATTTTAAAAGTTATGCCCTCGGTGCTAGACTCTCAAACCCAAGGAAACATTTTACCCACATCTACCCTGTCATCCCTTTAAGTATTTTGCAAGTTCTGATGAGATCAGCTCTCATTCTTTGAAACTCTAGTGAATACAGGCTCAGTTTGTCCAACCTCTCTTCATAGGACAGTCCCACCATTCTGGGAATAAGTTTGGTGAACCTTTATTGCACTCCCTCTATGACAGTATATTTTTAGAGTAATAGAGATGGAAACAGACTATTTTGTCCAACTCATCCATGCCAACCAGATATCCTAACTTAATCTAGTCCTGTTTGCCAGCATTTGGCCCATATCCCTCTAAACCCTTCCTATTCATGTCCCCGTCCAGATGCCTTTTAAATGTTGTAATTGAACCCGCCTCCACCACTTCCTCTGGCAGCTCACTCCATACACGCATCACCCTTTGCATCAAACAGTTTAAATCTTTCCCCTCTCACTTGAAACTTATGCTGTCTAGTTTTGGACTCCCCACCCCAGACCTTGGCCATTCACTTTATCCATGCCCCTCATGATTTTATAAACCTCTATAAGGTCACCCTGCAGTCTCCGATGCTCCAGGGAAAATAGCCCCAGACTATTCAGCCTCTCCCTATAGTTTAAACCCTCCACACCTGGCAACATCCTTGTAAATCTTTTCTGAACCTATTCAACATCCTTGTAAATCCTTTCTGAACCTATTCAAGTTTCACAATAGCCTTTTTATAGCAAGGAGACCAGAATTGCACTCAGTATTCCAAAAGTGGTCTAACCAATATCGCGTACAGCCACAACATGACTTCCTTACTCCTATACTCAATGCACTGGCAATAAAGGCAAGCATACCAAACGCCTTCTTCACTCCTATCTACCTGCGACTCCATTTCAAGAAACTGTGAACCTACACTCCAAGGTCTCTTTGTTTAGCAGCACTCCCCAGGCCCTTACCATTAAGTGTATAAGTCCTGGCCTGATTTGTCTTTCCAAAATGCAGCACCTCACATTTATCTAAATTAAACTCCTTCTGCCAATCTCAGCCCATTGGCCCATCTGATCAAGTTCCTGTTGTATTCTGAGCTAATCGTCTTTGCTGTCTACTACACCTCCAATTTTGGTGTCATCTGCAAACTTACTAACCATACCTCCTACGTTCACATCCATATCATTTATATAAATGACGAAAAGCAATGGACCCAGCCCTGATCCTTGTGGCACACATCTGGCCACAGGCCTCCAGTCTGAAAAGCAACCTCCACGACCACCATGTGTTTTCTGAGAGAAGGAGACCAAAACTGCACACAGTACTCCAGGTGTGTTCCAACTAAGCTCCTACGCTACTGAAGTAAGAATTTACTACTACTGTACTCAAATCCTCTTGTCATAAAGGCTAACATTCCATTAACCTTCCTAATAACCTGCTGCACCTGCAAGTTAGCATTCAGTAACTTATTGACAAGGATACCTCGGTTCCTTTGTAGATTGCACTTGCCATCCTCTTACCATTTAAAAAATTCTCTGCACATCTGTTTCTTTTACCAAATTGGATAAGCTCACAATTTTCCACAGTATATTCCATCTGCCATGTTCTTGTCCCATCACTAATCCTGTCCAAGGCCTCCTGAAACTGAGAAAGCAAATTCCCACTTAACTTTGTATCATCCACAAATTTGGAAATATTGCATTTGTTCCCCACCTCGAAATCATTGATCTATATTGTGAACATCTGTGCTCCATGTACTGATTCTTGTGGTATTCCTCTAGTCACAGCCTGTCAACGTGAGAAACGCCCATTTATTCCTACACTGGTTTCTGTCAGTCAATTCTTAATACATGTCAGTACATCACCTCCTGTCCCATGTACTTTAACTTTTCTAACCAGCCACTTGTGGGGGAGCTAATCAAAAGCCTCCTGAAAATCCAGTAAACTACATTAATTTGTTCCCTTATTGCAATTTCATTTGTAACATCCTCAAAAAACTCTAATAGGTTTGTCAATCACGATTTCCCATTCATTAATCCATGTGGCCAAACAGATCATTATTCCCCAAGTGCCCATTTATCACTTTCTTTACGGTAGATTCTGGACATGAGGTTGGGCCTGAATCTCACTGCAGCAGATGGTGAAATTTGAATTAAATCAAATAATCTGGAATAGGTATTTGGCCTAATGTAGCAACTGCTAATTTTTGTAAAATCCTGTTTGGTTTACTATTGTCTTTTAGCAAAGGAAGTCTTCCTTCCTTACCTGGTCTGGCCTACATGTAATCCTAAATCCACAACAGTTGACTGGTAACTGCCTTCTGGGAAATCAGGGATGAGCAATAAATTATGGTCCAGCCAGTGACACCCACAGCCTGTGATGAATAAAAAAAAATTCTGGGTAATCTGTGACTTCTGAACCCGAAATCCTACATTACAGAGGGGCGGCACAGTGGCTCAGTGGTTAGCACTGCTGCCTCACAGTGCCAGGAACCCAGATCCAATCCCACCCTTGGGCAACTGTCTGTGTGGAGTTTGCACATTCTCCCCGTGTCTGCTTGGGTTTCCTCCAGGTGCTCCAGTTTCCTCCCACTGTTCAAAGATGTGCAAGCTAGGTGGATTGGCCATGCTAAATTGCTCATAGTGTTCAGGGATGTGTGGATTACAGGGCAATCGGTCTGGGTGGGCAGCTCTGAGGGTCGGTGTGGACTTGTTTTCTGAAGGGCCTGTTTCCACACTGAAGGGATTCTATGAAATGTGGTACAGACAGAACAAGGTACAGAGATTAACGATCTATAGGGAAAGTGATACAGATGTTGTACAGTAGAGAGGTAACACAATATTGAGAGAAAGTGATACATGGGCAATGTGGTACGGAGGGTGCCATACAGAAGGAGAACAGTAGAGTGGGAACATGGGACATATAGAAGGTGCAGTACAGAGGGAACCAGCAATGATGCTGCATGGGACATGCCCCTCAAAATCTTGTTTTGGGAGGGAGGAGATGCTTTTGGCACGTATGCAAAACACAAATTTTATCAAGAAGATACTTTCTGCAGTAAAGCTAATAAAAGATAAAATGTGTTGAGCCTGTGTCACGTCAGAAGTCTCTTCAATCACATTAGGACAGTGAATGTCCAATTAACCCCAACTGCAAAATGTTTTTCAGCAATGAGACATGCACCGCTTTCTATTTCAAGCAACATAATTCAGCTTGTGACAATTTTCTTATCTATTAAAATCTATAACTATATTATTTCCCAACTGTGTTTTGTATCTGTTGTTTGTAAGTTCAGTTAGATTGAGATGTATGAGTGCAGGAAATGTGTTGACCATCCTGTGTAATGATGTTAACAGTTTCTGAATAGCTTAGTGCCTCTTCACTTTATCAAATCTTTATAATGTAATCACAGAGAGTTGTTGAAATCCATGTCAGTTATTGTTGCATTAAGCTGATAACTGGAACTGATAAGATCTTCCCAGAGGCAGCAGGTGCAGGAGGCGAGGAAGCAGCTCCTAATATGAGAGCTTAATCACAGTGACAATTTAACAGCTTCCCATCCCAAGCCACAGATCTAACTGAGACTATAACCTGAGCTTCAATCCTGAGATTTACTCTGATCTGGGATACAACAAATGAAATGACAATGTGTATTTATATTGAACCTTTAATGTGATAAATATGTCGGAGTGCTTCACGCAGGCGACATAAAACAAACTTCATCACCGAGGAAATAATATTTCATAAGATATTCTGACATTCACAAAGGCTCCTTAGTCAACAACTTCCAAACCTATAACTACTTCCATCTAGAAGGACAAGGGCAGCAGATACATGGAAACACCACCCCCTGCAAGTTCCCCACCCAGTCAATCACATCTTGATTTGGAAACATATCACCAATCTTTTGGTGTTGCTGGGTCAAAATCCTTGATTCCCTCCCTAAGGACATTTGGGTCAACCTACAGCAGGAGGACTGCAGCAATTCATGCAGGCAGCTCACCCCCACCTTTTCAAGGGCAACTAGGGATGGGCAAGAAATGCTGACCATTCAGCAATGCCCACACCCCACATCCCAAAATGAATAAAAATTATATATCGCACGGGTAACTAAAAGGACAAAAACGAAAGAACTGTGGATTCTGTAGATCAGAAACAGAAATTGCTGGAAAAGCTCAGTAGGTCTGACAGCACCCGTAGAGAAAAGTCAAAGTTAACATTTTGGGTCCAGTGACCCTTCCTCAGAACTGATAGTAGCTAGGAAAATGTTGGTTTATATGCAGAGATAGGGCAGGGGGAGGGGGTAAGTAGTAAACGATAGCTGGGGATAGAGCCCAAACACAGAGATGAACAGTTGGGCAGACAAAAAAGTGGATAACGATCTGGTTAAGAGGGTGAATTGCTTTCAATGGGGGCTGTTAGTGGCTAATAATGGGTTGTGTGCAATAGCAGTCCATGTGATAACAAGGCCTGGTGTATGGGGATTGGGAAAAGGACATTGGAGAGCTCAAGCCCTAAAACTGTTGAACTCAATATTAAGTCCAGAAGGCTGCAGGGTCCCCAAGTGGAAAATGAGGTGTTGTTCTTGCAGCTCGTTCTGAACTTCGCTGGAGCATTGCAGCAAGCCTGAGACAGTGATGTTGGCCAGAGAACAGAGTGATATATTGAAGTGTCAGGCAACTGGAAGTACAGGGTCTTTTTGCAGACAGAACATAGGTGTTCTGCAAAGCAGTCACCCAGTCCACATTCCGTTTCCCCAAAGTAGAAGAAACCACGACTAAGAGCTTGAACAGATAGGTAGGTTATTAGGAGCATGCTCAGCGTGGAAAGGTTGAGAGAATTAGTGAGGGAATTCCAGAGTTTAGGACCCAGGCGGATGAAGACACACTCAGCAATTGTTGAGCAAATTGGAATCAGGAATGGTCAAAAGTCTAGAAGTGGATGAACTCAGAGATCTTGGAGTAGTGCAGGATTAATATGATTAAAAACTTGTTTGATCTCCATTCTTCATCCCCTCCTTCCCATCTCACATTTGCAGACAAGATAGCTGGTTTAGGTTTTTTGGAGGCAATGGTTATTGACATAAATGAATATTCTGAGCAGACAGAAATGTTGCATTTGACCTGTTTCTCTGATAATTTAGCAATAAAATGTTTGGAAGATTTCCTACAGCACAGTGGGTTTACTGTTGGGACCACAAATCCATAAATATCTATACTTATGGACTAGGTGGAAAACTGAAAAGTATTGAACTGTTTGGACACTTTCTGGATTAAATAGGTTTTTACCAAGGAATGAGACCAACCGTTTAATGTAGGCTGTGATCCACCTGCTAATTACAGAAAGGCAAGCGATTTTGCAAAAACAGCGATGCAAAGCTTGTAGGGAGATGCTGTTAATTGCTAGAAATCCTGACCCTGGAAGACACTGTGCTGTTGGTTGCCTAGGAATCTTTTCTGGCCTTGGTTTCTGTTTCAAAAACCTAGGGAGCCAAAAAGAAGGAGTCCTCTAAAGATACATGTAAAATCAGGAAGTCTCCCTTACCTCTCTTGTTTGAAATAATTTGTAACTGGATAAAGTTTACACTTTGCAATACTTTGCAATAATTTGTAAATTGACCACTTTCCAAAGACTTGGAACAAATTTGATTTCCACCCAAACCAAAGCTTGTTTGGAAGATCTTCTAAGAGTATGTAGCTGTTAGCAATGTTATTTAATCAACAAGAAACCTGTGAAAATAGATCAGATTCTATCTTTTGCCTTTCAGACCAATGGTCAATCAGGGTATTTTACTTCTGGCCTTTTCAATTCCTGTCCATTGTGTTGTGGGATTGTTTGTGTTGGGATTAAAAGGGATTCGATTATAGTTTTATTTACAAAATCTAGCTTAGTTGTTGACCAGTTTTGTCACTTGGTTTTAAAAATGAATTTTGTTTCATGCTAAAGAGAGTATTTTGAGCTTATTGAAGAAACCTGGTGAAAATTTCTTTATTCTGGATATCAGCACAAAAGGAAAACGATTGGCCATTTTAGTGATTGAATCAACGTATTTACACTAACGTGACTGGTGGAGTCTTGGGGCTTGATTACTGGTCGATTCTTCCTGTCACAGTCATATCATGACAGACTACAGTGGTACAGGGTGACAGCTCAACCCTTCTTCTCAAGGAGCAAATAGGGATGAGCAATAGATACTGGCCTTACCTTTAACGCCCTCTGCCCTCAAGCCACGAAAGAATAAGAATTATTTTATAAAAGTTATGTAAGAATAATCATTAGCCCTTAAAATATGTGATTGTTTTAAGTGAGCTTTTGCAGGGACTTTGTTTTGTCCACACAATAGGTTCATTTTCACGTTTTCAGCTTTGAGCAATTTGACTGTGCACATTATAATGTGTTAGACTTAGATTTCTGTGATGAGTAGTTCACTGCCTGTCTCCCAAACCCTGTCCATCATCGACAAGGCACAAGTCAGGAGTGTGATGGAATACTCCCCACTTGCCTGGATGGGTGTAGCTCCAACAGCACTCAAGAAGCTTGACACCATCCAGCACAAAGCAGACCAATCACAGTTTTCACCATTCACTCCCTGCACCGTGGCAGTAGTGTTTACCACTCACAAGATGCACTGTAGTAACTCACAAAGGCTCCTTCAAAAGTATCTACCCAACCTCTACCCAGAAGGACAACGGCAGCAGATATCTGGAAACATCATCTTCTGCAAGTCTCTCTCAAAGACTCTCACTATCCTGGCCTGGAAATATATTGCTGTTCCTTCACTCCCTCAGTGAGTCTACCAACAGCACGTGGATGGAAGAATTTCATGAAGGTGGCTCACCACCACATTCGCAAAGGTTTTAACGACATAGCCAACACTGTCCTCATCCTGTGAGAGAATAAATTATATATCAATGTACTGTTCAGTGCAGTACCTTCGTATTGAGATTAATTATGAGGGTAACATGTTTTGGTATTGGTTAGGATTTCTTGATGCCAGTTCTGAAGCTGTTCTGATCTGGTAAAATTGACAAGTCAATCTTATGCCCTCTCAGAAAACATTTCTGTGGATGCTGCAACTTCCTTTAAACACAGCTTAATTTTTCTTTAAAACATACAAGAAAGTTAAGAGCTCTTTACATCTATCCACTCGTCATTTGTCTGAATGTCTCAGAATGTTTCACGTATTGAAGACTCAAGAAGTAAACCAAGACTTGAACCTGCAATTTTGAAATCAGTATGAATGTAAACCAATAATGTTGGCCACTTTCAGATTGACATAAACAACATCCAGTTTTAAATATGGACATTTTAAATGTTAGGAATTACACTGTAGCCGGTGTAGGAGTGGAAGCTGCATCTGGACTAACTAAAATTGGAAAAAAAACTAGAGAGATCTGGAATGTCAGTACAGGCAGTGTTGGATGTGGGTTCATGTCTGGCATAGAGCCTGATACCAATCGGTCAATTGTTGACCTTCAGCAGTTTGGGTTTCTTTGAATTTTTTCCAATGGTCCAGCGGT